GAAGTTATATTTATTTATTTGGAACGGAATCATTAATTTTGTCCATGTGTATCAAGAAACAAGACTGTTGTCTATATTCAGAATGAAAATGAATCACAAAGGCATCTCAGAAAGATTTGATTACATTCTCCTGTCTTTCACCTGCAACAGTTCCATGTGTGCCCCAACTGGCCAATGGCCGTCTGGACTGCCTATCAAACAATGCCTGGGTGAGCTGGGACCCTGCAGCAGGGGCAACGAGTTACTTCAGCATGGCGCAGGCAGCCAACGGTGACAGTTTCAACTGCACCACGTCTTCGGCGCCCTGTGGAATCGCCAATCTGAAATGTGGGACCCTTTACACCTTCGCTGTCATGGCCATCAATGATTACTGCAGAAGTAATCACAGCAAACCCTTCGACCTTGTGACAGGTACTCGACGCCATTAAGCCTTTTCTGTAGCCTGAATTCATTTAACACACTGTTAGCATTTTAATGATCTCAATTATCATGATGCATGGTTGTTTTCCTTTAGGCCCTTGTACTCTAGAGACCATCAATGCAACAAGTGAATGCAACAGTGGCACCATCCTGGTTGAATGGAAGAAAACAGGAGACACGTCCACCTACCTGGTTACAGCCGTGGCAGACGATAATACCGTAATTTCCTGTAACAGCTCATCCAGTTCGTGCCTTCTCCAGGGTGCCCGCTGTGACACGCACTACAGCGTCGTAGTGTCAGCTTCCTCTGACACGTGCGGCAGCCTCAGAAGTCCTCTGACAAAGATCACAACCGGTATTCTTCAACCTGGCCATTCAAAATAGACACATTCAATCTTTTGAAAACTTTGAAGTCATTTTCTGTTTTTCCCCTCTAGCCCCATGCGTGCCGAGCAATGTGACGGTGGGGTCATTGTGTGAGAAAAACGTGGCTGCGGTGTCGTGGGCTGCGTCGCCCGTGGCCTCATCCTACCAGCTGACAGCCACGGGACAGGATGGACACAAGACGGGGTGCAGCTCCGCAATGAGCAACTGTTCCCTGGTTGATCTTCACTGCGGTCAAACGTACAGCTTCAGCATCACGGCCAACGGAGGCAACTGCACCAGCTTTCCCAGCAACTCAACCTTTAAAACAGGTATACATAGAATTTGTCAAGTTTTTGAGATAAACACTATCAAAATGGTTGACTTTCTGAAATCTACCTTTTATAAATTTGATGAATTAGTCATAATTTGAATGATAACTAATTGGCAACAATTTTAACTATATTGGTAAAAAATGTTAATCACGATTGTTTGATGCCTTTAGCTGATACCGATTATTTTGACTATTAATTGATGGCAATTTCACTTGGATGCTTATGACTAAATCAGTTACCCTGTGTTCAGAAATTATACTTATCAGTCAAGCTAACTTCTTAATTTTATTAGCCATGGTCTGCCTCTCGTAAGGAACAGATTGACTGAGAGCATTGTTGAGGAGTGTGGGGTGCCGTTTGTAAAGTTACACAGTCAAAAATTACCACCAATATTTTTGTTTTATTTAGCCTTTTATA